GCACTAATGTATCCTTCACCAACAGTTGGTGATCCACTGAAACTTTCATCCATCTTTCCCCAGCATTAGCTTCTAAAATCTCACTCAGCTTTGAATGGCAGGGGCATCGTGGCTGTGCTCAGAATAATTCTGTTTAAAAGTGAAAAAAAGAATAAAATTAAATAAAATGATTGTTTGGAGCAGAAACCTGTAGGCCATTGAAATAACAGTTCATTTCTTTAAGTGAGGATATTCATCTGCTGCCGGTAATTTTTTTGTTTTTAATGTTAACCTCTGTCATGACTACAAGTTTTGCTTCCTCTGCATCAAATGTGATAGATGGTATCACTTTCTATGAAGCTTGCAGCACAGTATTATATACTGGTAAACAGTTGACTTTATTCAAGAGGAGAGAGTATTTTTTTTAGTATCTTTTAAATGCTTTTTACAAATACTCAATACAATTTAAAAATTAAAGGACAATTCTTAGGTCTGGGCATGTATCCCTGAATCAACCTAAGAAAGTGCTTTAAGTCATATTCATGCTTCCCTGAATCCTGGGCCACTGGATTTGCCCAAAGACATAAAAGGAAGTAATTTTGCAGTTTAAAGTTTGTTGGCTATGAATTGCCCCTGACAGGATAGGGAGGTTGGGTTCCTCAGGTACATCACTGACTTCAGTCACTGAGATAAGTGACTAAAGGGCTCAATATTTTTGAGGTTCATAATTTTCCTGCGATTTTGATATTTACAGATTTAATGTTTTTCTGTGTAATTGGAGGTTTGGGTGGTCATTTAAAGGATAAATAACCAGAGTCCTTGCCACAAAACTTTAGTTTGGTAGTGGTCAACTGAGGTCTCCAGCTAGTTGTTCATCCCCTTACACATCTTCCTCATCATCTTTCTGATACTGCTCACACGAATATATCGTTGTTCCCTAGGAACATATGTAAGTACACAATTAGGGCAAAATTTTACAAATTTACAAACCCTAAGAAAAACAGAGGATTATTATCTTAAAAATTAATTCACCAAACAGCTTAGTCACCTCCACATTTAACTCACCTCAGCAGACTTTATATCACAGATGAATATTTAACAGATAATGTTTAATTTCAAAATGAATTAACTGTCTAGTTTGGATTAACTCCTTATATTCTTGATATTGGTGTAGCTGAAACATACCTCAAGGCAATGTAGATATAATTCAGAATAGACTCCATAGTGGGTAGTTCAGAACTCAGATTCTGAATTCTCATGTTGAATTGTGAAAAATCTTGATTGCTTGGGAGAAAAGCAGGGCGGGGAAAGACTAAAAATCAGTTAGGGTTAAAACCTAAACCCAAGATCATGGATGTTGTTACTGTTCGCTAAGCTTCACCAAGAACTACTGAATAAATAAATGTTTCATTAAGGAAGGCAATAAAGCACACAAGTGCCTGTATTTTTAAATAGTGCTTTATCAATCTTGAATGAAATTCAGCCTTTTCAGCAAATGCATACTGTCAGCACAGGTTTATAAATCACTGCCCAGTGCTATATCAGAAAGGATACAGCCTCTTGAAATACACCTTGCTCTTAATAGAAATAATTCCAAAGGTATTCCATTATTTTTTCTCCCTGTAAGTAAACGCTTGAAGGCTTGTAACAGCTGGTATCAGCAGGGAAATGTCTGCCTTGCAAACCATTAAAAAAATCCACATATCCTCTCTGCTGCCCTGAGTTTTTCTGTATTTAAAATGTAGGCAAAGGTTTCTTAGATGCAAGTCTGCAAAAACAAACAATGTAGAATACCTGTGGCATTATCCTTTACTGTAGAGCACAAGCACTACCTTGCAGCGGTCATTTCTATCTCAACATGGCAGACATAAGAGAAGAG